TTATTTTTGTACTCATCTGATTAATCTAGTTCTTGCCGATTCTTCTTGAGCTTCTTGTTTAAATTTTTACTCACTATTCTAAATTTGTGACATCTCTATATAAAAAAAATTCACTTCAATGTAATCAACAAATTATTAAAGAACTTAAAAATACTCACTAATCCTCAAATTCTAATTTTTGAAACCTTAATCCATAAAAACCTTCACATACTTTGATTTAATCGTTCGATTGATAACTTTTTTAAATATGGCCATAAATAATTTTAGAAATAAATTCAAATTATAAAGGAACTGTTAATCCTTTTCTATCAAAGATATAAATTAAGAGAGAACACTTCTTTATAGAAGTGTGCCTATAAATCCAACTTGAATAAATCCATCAAGACATTGGAAAAAATATATCTTTAGATAGAATTTGACTTGTAAAAATCTTTAAAATTTTAAACTTATTCCATCAAACTTCTTGGGTATATTAATCCTTGCCCTTGATATAGTGATAGGAATAAAATTTTCTTGATTTGGTTGCAAAATTAATCTACTTATTTATTTCAATCCACAACTTCTTAGCTTAGACTTTGGACTTCTTTTATAGGCATAGGAATAGTGCTTCCATAGTTGGTATTGGTGATGCATGAAATTTCCAATCTTAAGAGTATTGACAAACTTGTGAAGATTTATGATAGTTACAAATGTATTTTCATTTCTATCAAGTATAATATCTATAATTTTTATTTCTATTTTAAATAATTTAATAAATCTACAAGTCAAATTAGAAAAGAGTAATCTAAAATCTTTAATATCAAATAAAAATTTCTTCAAAAAGAAATAATCTATTATCTTTAAGAAAAAAATTAATATAAAAAATAAATGTTACTTCAAGGTGGATAATCTATAACTTTCTAAACACAATAATAAAAGTAGAATAATTTATTTAGTTCTAAAGATAAGATAAGAATAATGAATTATGACTCTTCTTAATTTGTTAAGGACAAGAATTCAAAAAAGATATGTAAAAAAGTAAAAAATTAATCAAAGAGAGGTGACAAATTTAAAATAAGAAAGTAAATATATTTAATAAGAAATTGAAATAGCTATTGCCAATGGTTAGAAAATTAGAGACTCTTAAAACTAGACTAGAAGCAAGAAAAAAATTGATAAAAATGAAGAAGGTTTTATTCTTCTCTCTATATATACTATCTACCTAAGGACTATATAGCAACATTCTATAGGACGTCCAATATATGTCTAATTTACAAGATACATGTCTTAACTTGCACGACAAGTTTCATATATGTATTCCATATTATTAGCTTATACTACAAGTTACCAATATGTGTGACACGTGGCTAATTTGTTGGCCAAGTTTCTAACCTATGAAGCACATGTAGACATGTATAAAGGTGAAATTGCATCTATGAAGCTTGTAGGAAGCTTTTCCACAAGTTATTATCAGATTAACCTATTTTTCCTTATTTCTATTGACTCATATTATCTCAGTAAGTGTAAGTATATCCATGACAAAGTTTCATTTATATAATTATTGTCATTCTAAAATATGAGACATGCAAAATAGTCAAGTTATTTTATTAATTGATAAAATCAAAGATATATGAAATGGTATTATCAACAAACTCTAATCTATATTATCCAATAAGGTGGTTGATAATATTATTGTGCAAGGCGCATGCTTCTCTTGCTCTCTACCAGTGCTCAATATTGTTGCGTGGTGACTACATCGTCGCCTTCTCTCTCACTCTGTCTCGTTATCTATTTATGACTGTATTCTTGCTTTCAAAGCCCCTGTCGCCTCGAGAACAATCTCTTTTGTGTCCTTCCATTAACGGTAATGCCTAAGTCATTTGCTATTCAAGATAATCTCTATTTCGTTCATGAACTTATCACCTGCTAAATTTACCAGATAATCTGGGCTCCAATCGCTAGAACATGGAAGTAAGATAAAGAAGACCTGTGTGTATGAAAGGGACAACCCATGCTACACTTGGTGACATCAATCCCTGGTGGCAATTGCCGGTCTCAAAGCTACTGCATGCATGATAATTGGGTGTGCACTCTTGCCCCTACAGCAGGTATGCGTGGACAATCGTAGCTGAAGATGGCCTGTCGCTGAAGCTCTGTGAAACTTGTTTTACTAATTTTCACATTGTATGACTTCGTTGCACGTCTCTCTTCATTTTAATCGATTTGGAATTCAGTGAATTATGCTCAGGTCCACGGCTCTTCATCATCTTCAAAAATGTTGATTTTGTCAAAAAGTGAGAGTTAGCTTAATCAACATTTCTCTGAACGAAGTCAAGCTTTTAAAGACTCAAGGTACAAGAATACATGTTTTATGTGACAAATGCTAGCAAATTTTCCCGGATCCGCAGTTTCAATATCGTCCACCAATCTACGTTCCGCCAAATAAGTATCCAAGTGATGACTCACCACCTGGAGCAGCTTGGATTCGCGTGGATGGCCGATCCTGCAAAATACCCACACCATCTGCATTACTACGAATCTCATTTGCAGAAACATCATCTAAAAAGATGAATTCGTAAAATTCCAACTTGCTGAACTATGAATTGCCCCGACTACGATTCTATTGCCGGCCAGGAATTTTCGATTATTGATGAATTGAACAAAATGTAAGCTAATGTGGCTTGGTGAAGTGTTGATGTATTCAGAACGGGAAAACAATTCAAGGTTTGAAGGTTTTTTCAAACCCGATTTGATTCAAGCGGTATCCCAACAATATAATGCGTTCAAACTTGTTAAATCAGTCTGCGTTCAATAAGCTCTGCTATCAGTAAGGTATGATTAAGGCGGCTGTGGTTAGACTTGGAGCAATGACTGCATCGTACTTCGTCACTGACATGCTAAAACTGGAATAGAACGACCATTCGAGCCGGTCTTCTGATTCCATTGCAACATTTGAACCACCGGAATGAACTGTACCGTTCAGATGGTGAAACAACGTGAGAGGTCCTAATTTCACACTTTGTATGAAGAAGAGCCTCGCGCGTGGATAGGATTTACATTTCTGCTCCTACTACTCGTCTGAAGCTCACCCTCTTAGTCTAAGTTCAATTTCACTACCAACCTCAAGCTCTACAGCAGAGACAAATTTTAATGAACCCTGTGACGAATCCAATCGCCAGATCCTAACACGGTCGAAGGGGACGATGAACTGACCGTGATGAAGTTTCTGGAGTTTTCACCATCTTCAAGATAATATTTGTTGTTGCGGCTCATGCTTCCTCCGGACATGTCCAGCGACAAGCCTCCACCGTCAATGATCACTTTTCCCGCAGCACGCGTTTGAAGATGACCCATTGGGGATCGGTGAGGATTTGGCATGGATGGGTAGTCCGATGGTGTGTGGTAGCCAGTCGGAATCTGATATCCAACGGGAGTTCCATAGTCTATGGATTGATCATCAATCGTTGGTGGACCTGAGCGGGAATTGTAGCCGGAGACTTCCCGGTTACTGTTCATGTGTTCGGGCTGCTGCGTGGAGGTGCCCTGTTGTTCGATCGAGTCAGAGAGGTGGCATCAGATCCGAACAAGTATCCTAAAGAACTTGCTCCTCCGCCGCTGCTGGTGCCCCGATTGTTCATTGCGCCTCTCATGATTTCGACACGTCTTTTGTTTGCAAACTAACAACGTTGTTGCAATCTTCTTCGTTACTTCAGCGGAAGTTGGAACAATCAAGCGGACTATATGAGGCGCCTTTTGACATCTATGCAAACAGAAAAATAGAAAAGAGGCACTCATTAACTCGGAGTGATCATGCGAAAATATGTCCTGTGCATCGCTGCTACCTTCCTCCTTTTACACCCTGAAAAAAAACGAAAAAAAAAAAAAAAAAAAAAAAAAAGACGGTCTGTTTCCTTACAGTTATTGAGATCCAGTGTGATGACCAAACCAAAACAGCAACATAAACGGCAGACTATATTAGCCGAAAGTGGACAATCGAATCGGTAAATTAGAGATTTACAATAGAGATTCAAAATAGAGACTTTGAGTGAGTCCTCCGAATAACGAGTAGGAGCTTTGGAGCTCGTGCAGGCCAATCGCTTGAGCATTGATCATAAAGTTGGGATACGTGCAGCTGGACATCGCAATAGATCAAGAATGAGATGCATTGTGTCAGATGCAGAATTAGGAACCTTCACAATATTCGACAAAACGGATACCAACCTCAATACAGATTCAAAACATTCAGCTCATCAAATATAGGACGCTGCACTCATCAAGACAATCGCAATATCATGGCATAGGGAGCGATATCGAACACAATGTGCATGTCGATGCTCTTACAATGTCTCAGTTTCTCTGCATCGACTTAACTCTTGTGGTTTTGAGGAACTGGTACGTGGGTGCGACCCAGCATGATTTTCTTCAGCATTTCTTGGATCTACAAGGAGCCAGCTGCCATCCTTTGCCGAATCTCAAGGTTTTCATTGGGATTATCGAGTATGGTTTAATACGAATAGGGAATTATCGTATTACCCTCACCTCGTCCAATGCAAGTCTCTACTGAGAATTTGACTCCTGAGGTTGACAGTATTTGTCTACAAGGGTTAATCAAGCATCAAAGCATCCACTGCCCGGACAGCAACCACCCGCTGTGGTGACCAAGGTCAAACACAACCTCCACGGGCCCCAATATCCTATTAACCGCCACCCCGACTCCCCAAGCAATCACGACGGACAACGCCGTGTGATAAAGATCACCGGCCAACGCTCCCAGCGTATTGAATGCCAAACTGGTTGCCAAAACGGATTGAACATTGCACCAACCGGTTTGGAACCGATTCATCAACATACAAATCGGCTTCGCCGGTTCGAAACCGTTAGCCAACCATGGGTAATTCCTATTTGCTGCGATTAACCGTTCGACTAAGGTAGTAACTTACTAGAGTACAGCAAAGAAGATTGAGAAATTGAATTAGAGGGCAGAATTGATTCAATGAAACAATTGATTTCTCAAAAAGGTCTTTGCTGCAATGGAGACCACTTCAAATACGATTCAAAAGAAACTGAGAGAACAGCCTTATGGGTTCGACAAGGAAAAGACACATCACAGTAAATAGCACGTCACTCATTACAGCCAAGACATTGATGCGCCTCCGATATTTACCCTTCTACATCTGACTAAACTCCAAAATGCTGTTCTATTTGCGGGTACTAATGAGCTTTCTGATTACTTTGTAACCCAAAGAAACAGCCAACTAGGCCTGATACCAGATGCTGATCGGGCATTTCATAGTCTTTTAGACTTCAGTTTACAAATGCACATCATCCTTACAATGAAAAATGGTGGCAAGTGGACATCGTAGAGAGAGTCCTATTAGCAACGCAGCTCGCAAGGCGACCGGTTTAGGGTTTTAGGGTGAGGAATCAAGTTCTTGACCACACTAATCCTGTTCCATGTTATCCACAGCTTCAGCTTGCCGGCGCTTCTCCTCTTCAACTGATATTAGACATAAAGCACATAAATAAAGTTCATAATCAGATAGCATAGGACTTCCATGCATACGTTAGAATGAACAGAAACACGACACAAGGATATGTGAAATCTCAACCCAAGATCACTCTACATACTGCTTTCACCACTTCCATCACAGAGATAAAAAATGACATGATCTGAACAAACATCTTCGGATGTCTTCAATATCACGTTCAGAATGCAACTATCCAGTTGAAGCTCAAGCCACTTACTCATAAGCTCAACAATTGCTCTGTGTGTACGTCGCTCTAACTTCTCCAATTTCTTAGCTACATCCCTCCTGAGATCCCAATTTGGTTTCTTGGGTGCGATACTTACAATAGGATCCTGTAAATATGATGTTGGAATCATTGAAAAACTAAATGATTTTATCCAGATTAAAACATAAATGCAAGTTTGAAGAAGAAACCAACTAGCATATAATTGGTGTCAAAAGGTAGATAAATAAATGAACTCAAAAATACATGATAATGCTATGTATAAAGCCTACTACAACAGCAAGACCTCCGAATCTCTCAAGAAATATCCAAGCAATACGAGGGATTGAACCATGACAAACAATACGTGCAAATACCTCGCCTCCAGCGACTTGAAGTGGATCTGTAGCCACAGGGTCCTCAAACTTCGGTATAACAGGAGGTGCGTGCTTGGCTTTCTGCAGATCACTGTCTCTGGGAAAGTAGTTCCGAAACTTTATCCCTGTGTCTGACCTGCAATGTGATTCCTCACTTTCTCATCAGTCACAAAATAACTTACGTCATGAATATTTAGAGAACGATCCTACCGACACAACACCAGAAGTCACAAATCCAGTTCGTACTTCCCCAGTGCTTAATACAAAAGCAGGGGCATTGGAGCAAAAAATATATATTGAAGCATGACTGTACTCTCCGTGTTAACTATATGAAACAATCACTCAGAACCAATAATATCTGCTTGGATTCGTTATGGGTTAATAAGAAATTCGATGGTGTTGCTGAATGAAGCACACAAATGTTTTTCAACAATTGTAGAAAATGGAAGTAACCACCGTGTCACACTGTATCCACAATTTTAATCCCACCTCAATGTCGAGAATTGATGATATCGATGTAGCCCTACACTTGGTCTATAGGGCTAGGATTTCAACATACTGTGTTACAATTTAGTTCGCTAAACGGCTGAATATTTGTTTCTATAGTTGTTTATTTGTTTGTTTGATTACTTATTAACTTATAACTAAATGAAAACGGAAAATATTGTGCCATGAGCTAGGTACCGGACCACAGGTGGTGTTCTAGAGAGCAATCACTTTGATCCAATCATTCAATTTTCGAATGCTTCGTATTTCCTCTGTGCGGAACTCAATGACTTAATTCTTCGAGCTACGAAGCTTATGTCATGATGAACACTTCACAAAATCGCAATCGAGAACGGGAACACACGTACGAGGACAGCATAAATCCACGGGCGTGAACACTTACGCTCCATCTGGCTCTTGTTCCTGCTCGAGTGGCTGACGCTGCTGGCCGTTGGTATCAAGAGAGGCGATGGTGGAATCAGGGGTGGGAGCAGCAAGGAGCTCTTGAGCAGCTCGAAGCGCCTGGAGACGCGCGCGGCGATCGTCGGTCGACTCAGCCACATCAGAACCCATGGCTGAAAACAAAGTGACCAGCACAGACAATGTAAAGCAGTAACAGTGCAGGAGTGGAGGAGATGACACTGGAAACTCAGGCGAGAGAAAACAGCCTGGACCTCCACAAGCAACCAGCAATCAGCACTCACGGCTCGGACAGACATTGGGAGGAAAGCTGGAATTAGGGTTTGCATGAATTCCGTCCCTCTTCGCTCCCCATTCTCCTCCTCATCCATCCTCTTTCTCCCTTTTATTTCATTCATCCTTTTCTCCCTTTTATTTCATTCATCCTTTTCTCCCTTTTATTCCATTCATCCTTTTCTCCCTTTTATTTCATTCATCCTTTTCTCCCTTTTATTCCATTCATCCTTTTCTCCCTTTTATTTCATTCATCCTTTTCTCCCTTTTATTCCATTCATCCTTTTCTCCATCTAGCCATTCCCGATCTCGCCTATGCTCGTTTTCTTCACTTTTCTTGGTGCAAGTGGTAGCTTGTTGAGCAACTTTCAACCCATTACTACCTTTTCAAAAATCCTGTTGAACTTAGATTACATACCAATCTAATAATTTTTAAAAATGGAAATATAAAATAAAAATAAACTTTATTTGTCAAAGAATGTTTTAGGATTTGATTAATTTTTGAAACTTTGTCATTGCAAAATCAATTGTGATAAAAAAAAAAAAATAAAAAAAAAAAAACATGTATTGAAACTAAAATAAAAATAAAAAATAAAATACAAGGAATATTGAATTTAATTCAAAAAAATAACTAATCTATATAATTTATCTTTATATTATCATATATATATATATATATATATATATTTATATTTACTTAAGTATACAATTATTTAAACCATCCAATAGTATAAATATATATATGTATGTATGTATGTATGTATGTATGTATGTATTTAGGAGAATATTTAAATAGACCTTTTTTTTACTAAATTGACCCACCTTTGATAAAGAATATAATAATTATGATGAATGTGGTTGATTTTTATTGGTTGTAAATCCAATAATGGGAAAATGAATCTAGAAATCATTATTTTATTTCATGAGGGTTAAGATAGGTGGATCAATTTAGTAAAAACTTAGGTCTATTTAACATTTTTCACTATATATATAAACACATGTATACATATACCTGTAATTAATTAATTTTTTTAGCATGATTGTTATAATTTGTAATGCATTTCTATCATATCATCTAAGAGTTTTTTTACATTCAATAACCAAATTGATAATGACATTCGAATTAGTAAAAATAATTATTTTTTTATAACAATCATTGCACTGACTTCTAGTTATAAGAGAAATCCTACAACTTGATATAGTAATTAACTTTTAAAATATACTGGTTTACAGGAGTACATCATAAAAACTAGTTTTATTTTATTTTGTCATAGTTCTGTTGTTGTTCTTGGCAATGTTCTTGTATGGTACATTGACTTGTTGGTAATATATTTGATTGTAATTATTTCTGCAAAAATCTTTGTTTGTAACAAGAAACAAATGAAACATCCAACAAAATAAAAATTTAAGGTGTTGATACACATCACAGGAGTTGTGTAACAAAAAATACTTTACATTCATAATTTTAACTAATGTCCTACAACTGGTCCATTATTAGATAAAGAAAGTTTTCAAAACTCTGAAATAAATCATACTATAAAAGTTCCTTGGATTTTACGAATAAAATAATTCACAAATAGAACTTATATGCATTTATTACGTAGCTAATTTTTTTAATATTAATACTATTTTATTAACTTTTGATATATAATACATTTTCATACATAAGATAGACATTGTTTACTAGAATTATCTTTTTTCTTTTATTCTTCTAATAAATAAAATGACCTTTTCAGATTTTATAAATAGCTATTATATGATGTGTACACATAAATATAGATATAGATATTATTTATTTTATATGGTATAATAACAGATATTAGAATATTGAGACTTGCATTGAGTTATTTTATACCATTATGTTCTGTACTAGTATAAAAATTAAAATGTTATTAATAAAAAATTATCTTAAAAATTTAAAAATATATTTAAGTATATATATATATATATATATATATATATTAACTATCATTAAATAATTTAATCCATTTCAAGTTCGTAATATTTAATTTTATTCAAATTATAATAGATATAAATATTCAAATTAAAAATAATATTTAATTACTTATAAATGTTATATATATATATATATATATATATATATATATAATCAATAAAAAAATTATTATTTATAAGATACATATTAAAACTTAAACATTGTGCATTATTGTTATCAAGTAGCTATTATAATATATAGCATGTTTTTTTTAAACATTTCCAAACAATCATAAGAGTTAAAATTCTCTTGATAATTTAGAGATTATAAAGATTTATGGAAACATGCCATTATAAAGAATTTGATGCATTATTTCTTTTTATAATTTACAAAAAAAATAAAATACAATAACAACAATATTTATATATTTTAGAGATACGAAATAATTTTATGCCAAAAACACAATAATAAGTTTGTATATTAATTATTTAATATTGAATATATATATATATATATATATATAATTTAGTAATAAAATTATTTTATTATCATACATTCATACTAATACATTCTTTATATTTATGAAATTATTTTTTATATAATTTAAAAAAAAATTAATAATAAAACATATTTAATTATATATAATATAAATAAAAAATTAAAGTATAATTTGAAATAAAATACTAAATATAAGTTTATACTATATTAAAAAGAAAATAAGTATTTGATATATATATATATATATCTATATGAAGGATGAAATCTCAAAGAATAAATAAACAAGTGATATATGCTTAAAGAAAGATGACAATCTCTCTCTCTCTCTCTCTATATATATATATATATATATTAAAAAAAAAACTAAAATGACTACTACCAAAGACTAAAAAACTAAAAATCCTTAAAACTAGACTACATGGAAGAAAGAAATTAATATCAATGAAAAATGCTTCACTTTTATTTCTTTATATATTATCTTACTTGGAGCTATGTGATAATGTTTTATAAGACCTTGTAGTTGTCACTTTACTTATTCCAGAAGAAACCTCCTAGAATAAACCTATATAGGGGAATTCGAACACAGGGAAAGACCATGTATATGAACTCCAATTGTTGGGGTTACACAATTAATCGCTACTGCTGAATGCTTACCATAGCGAAGAATACTTAACTTTTCCTCTTACTGTCCACTCTTTCATATCAATACAATAACATCAACGACAATGATTTCAGTACCCTGTGTAATTCACGAACACACAAGCATATCCCAAACCCTGGAACGAACAACTTCCAATCCACAGAATCTAATCAAGATAATTCTTTCGATTACAATTCCTCTCCACTGAACCTACAACCTTGCGATAAACAATGATTGGAAACTTCCATACGTTCTCAATCTTTCACAATAACTGATAAACAGTGATCCATAAATAAATTTGTAAATCAAACATTAATTCATTAAATCGATTCTCTTCACTAGAATCAACACTAACACAAAAGAAACAAGAAAATTAAGAAGAAGAGATAGCACCAAGCTTATCCCCGGCTCAGTACTATCGTAGTCTGGCCTTTTCTTCCCTTCTCCCATCCTCCTTATACTACCTCGAGATACCAACTCCTATACTACAAATGATAACTACTTTTCTTGACTATTCATCCATTCTACCTGCTGAACCATCTTTTCAGTAATTATCTATTCCTGTTTACACTATATACTAGGTATCTACATTCTGAAAATAACTACTTATTCTACATAGCCCCACTCCTAATTGTGCAGCGTCCCCACAAACACAGTATTGATAAACAAAAACCAATCATTTTTTTTTTTTATATATATATTTTTTTTAACTGGATTGTTCAATCTCTTCGATTTCTAGCGCTGGCTCCATTTGGTCTTGTTCCAACACTATATCTTCTTCCTTCGACTTGTCCTGAATCTCTATCCTAAATTGAGCTGTTAAATCTTTATTATACTCTCCCAATTCTTGAACCTGAGCTTCCAATTGGAGGATTTTGGCATCTTTAGCTTCCAGTTGTTGTTGCGACTGTTGCAATTTCTCCTCCAATTTTCCAATTCTTATTCCTGTTGAGGCAAATGTCTGTAACTGACCAATATTGACTAAATCGCTCTCAAATTTCATTACTGTTTTCTTCAAAACAATAATTTCTGCCTATAGTTCATCCATATTGTTTTGATATTGGTCACCCAATTGTTTCTTTTCAAGCTCCAATGCCTCCTTCTTCTCTCATTCCATCTTCAACTGAGCCTTCATCTTCTCCTATTCCAATCTATTCGATTTGCAAGTTTGTAGTAATTCTTGCTTTTGATTTTTCAGGATATGCTAAATCCTCTGTTTTTTCTTTGACTATTTTTCTACTTTCTCATCCAATTCACGTTTCACTCGTATCTTGGATTTTGATTCTACCTTGATGACTTGTTCATGTTCCCTGATTTTGTAATTTTGTTCCAATATTATTTTCTTATTCGCTTCTACTTACCTTTTTAAGCTATCCTCATCTTCGAACTTACTCATCGTAAGTTGTAGCTAAAAAATTTGATCTAATATAACTTCCTTAAGATTCCACCCTTCCGTTACACCCCGTTGAAATTTTAATTGGTTGCTTTCCCTTGGAATTGGTATTGGCGTCATCATCTCTATTGTCGATCGAATTGGAACTCGCTCTGGTGTAGATATTGATCTTGCTTTCCATTCTACTGCTATGTTGGATTCTCCCACTTTATACACCATTACCCCTGGAATAACTGTTTCCGTTTGTAAACTTGAAACTACTGGTTGAGATTCCTCTTTCAATGTATATTCAATCACTGAGTTTACATAATTGGAACATAATAGTGAAGCAAACTTCTCCGACTTCGACTTAGCTTCCATTTCTATATGTATCGTTGTGGCCACATAAGGTGCCCAATTGAATACCATGCCTTGTAATGTTCCTATCGCAAAAAACAGTAATCACTTCGCCATGTAGGTGGTATGCCGATTCAATGCTAACCACTTCTAAACAAACCGCATCTATTCTATAAGTTTGGGTATAAGTGCCTCCTATACCTTCCATCCTTGATTTCGCTTGAGAGATGATA